TGTATGGAAAGCAATTTGACAATAAATTATATTTAATATAAAAATTTCCAATATGAGTGAAATCATACAGTTAAAAAAAAAAAACACCTCCCTTGCTTTGTTTTAGTTTCTACTTAAAGGCCACCTTTGCAAGGAAGCATCCCCTGAACAATCCCATGTAAAACTGCTCCCTTCCCCAGTGTATTTTTTCTTTATAGTTATCACCTTTTTCATAGTATAAAACTTGCTGATTTATTATAGCATGTGCTTATAATGTAAGCTTCATAGAGAAACAATTTATGTTTTGCCCATACTTAACCTCAAAGCTTAGACTTGGCTGGCAGCTAGCAGCACTCAAGACATGGTTGTTGAATGAATACGGTTCTTCCACACAGAACACTTCCGTACCCTTGACTGTTGCCTAATTTAGCTTCTACTTTCCTGACCCTCTAGAGTAAAATAGGTCATCTAGCAATGTATGTTTTTGTGCCAGTGAACTAATTCATCAGAGCCATAATATTACATTTCATTGCATCTGATTGGTGCAGGTCCAGGACAGCAGGTGCCAAGACATTTGCCGCTGCCCATCCCGCCCACTGTAGTCCCAACTGTCATCTAAGCAGAGAGCTGCTGCTCAATACATGTTTATTGATGGAATTTTGGTGGAGTTTAGCATCAGACAATAGTTCTAATGCTTAGGTAAGTAACTAAGCTCCAAGCCCCTTTTACCTGGTAAGCCTCCTCTAGCATCGCTCTTCTGAACCTCAGTGTCGTAGCCAAATTTGTTTTTTGTTTTTTTTTTCAGTTCCTTGAAGGTGCCAGGCTCACTTGATTTACCGCTTCCCCTTCCTGGAAACTACCTGCCTCCATCAATCCCCTTTACACACACTTGAAACATATCCTTTAGACCCTAGCTTAAATACTTTGCTAGGGAATCATTCCTTGCCTTCAAATATCAGTTGAAGTCAGATTAGTGTGTTATTACAAAACCTTATTCCTTCCCTTCATATAAATAAGGTGTGTCTGTTTTTAAATATTCACTCATTTTTGTAAATATTTGATTCATGTCTATTTCCTCTGCTACAGTGCAAGACACAAGAGAGCAGTCACCATGCCTACCATGGTGACCACCGATGAAAGGAATCAGCGCTTGATTTCAAAGAAAGAGCCTCAGAAATGGCTACCGTTGTTTCTAGGTTCCACATAAGGCAGCAGGCTCACAGATTACTCACTCCTGACCTAGGAAGGTAATGACAAATTCTCTTTTTGTTCACTCTTTTACCTCTGTTACCCAGCACAATCCCTGGGACATAGCAAGAACATAGCAAGTACTTGCTTAAAAAAAAAAAAAAAAAAGAAAAGAAAGAAAAGAAAAGAAAAATGGAAGGCAGATACTTTAGAAGGAGATGTAATAAAGTCTTCCAGGACTGAATATTGTACATAAATTACTAATCTCAGTTATTTAGCCAAGGTATTTAAAATCAGTTAAATGGCATCACTGCTTACAAATCAGACTCTCTGTGCATTTATATCCCAGAACCCTCAAAAGTGAAGGACGAGTTTATGACCTGTGGTGACATTGCTGAGGGACAAGTTGAACCTCTGAGAGAGAATCAAATTAATTTACAACAGACTGTACTTTTCAGAATACTGTCCTTCATAAGCCATGCTATCTTTTAGAATCCCTAAGCATGTGTTCTGACCTAACTTTGTTTTTCTTCAAACCTTTTAACAGAAAGACTTCTAAAAGTCTTTTAAAGTTAGACAAACTCTAACTTACAATACAGTTCATAGAATTAAGTCAACACACGTAAAAATATTCTACGAGGAGTATTTTCAGAGCACTAACTCAAAATGGTAAGAACATGTCCCTCTCTTATTACACTAAATCAAGGACTTCTCTTTCTAGTTTGCCCCATCTACATCTCTTAACTAAAGACCACTGGGTATCTATTTGGAGGCTCTGGATGGTGCTTGAGCACACTGGAATGAAAGAGATTAAGGCATTGTAATGGTGGAGAAAAAAGGAGTGGAATAAACATGCAACACTAACAAGTCTAGGCGAATAAACTATGGACCAGACCTAGCTCCAGTGAAAGCTCTCAAGGATTCTTCTCAGATCCCTGCCAGGTTTGTTCCCCCTTATATGGAGTCCATATACCTGTTTTTCTCTCTTAAAATTCTTCCCATTCTAACAGAATTCCTCTGGGTGCAGCACAAAACATAATAATAGTCCACGTTTTCTGAAGCACACATGGAATTCTTATTATGTGCAGAGAATACTTGTGCTGCTGTTAAAGTGACTCTTGTATTTATCTTTTTATCCTTTATTATTTCTTCTCTCTTCCTCCTTCTCTGCCCACTTCTCTTCCTCTCCCCCTTCCTTTTAAAAATTCAACTAGTTTAAGAGCAGATCATATCACGTGCAAAGAACCTAAGAGAGAATCATGAAAATTTCAAGTCAAATGGGAGCCCAGCATTCCAGAGTAATTCAAACCAAAGGTTAAATAAGGCATAGAATTCAAGCATGGTTTCCTCTAGCACTGAGGAAAGTGACAGAATGAGAAGAAAGAAACATTAAAGCTGGGGCATTCTCGCCACAAAATTCCTTCCAACTCTGCCCTTTTAGATACTAGTCTAGATTAGCTACAAGTCAGGGCACAGTAACGGGAAATGTAGAGAGAAATTAGGATATCAAAAGGGAAAAGGGGGTTGAGGGGAAAAGAGGACGTTTGGAGGCAGTAGTCAACACTAATTACTGGGAGGTGATCACGGACAAATGCAGAGGGGGTCTATATAATTTAGGAGTAGCAAATATATGCACAGCTATCTCAGGAGGTATCTCTGGGCCGAAGAAATAAAGACAGAAAATAAGGCAAAAAAGAAAGCACATAGGATAATAAATATAGAAAACCTGAGGGACACAACTCAAATGATCCTAGTTAAGATCCAATTCAGTCAACATCTGCGAGTGCTATGGATTGTTCTTCAAGGTGGTCTAGCCTCACGGACATCAAGGTGGAAAGATTATATCCTAGAGCTAGTTGTATTAGGTCTAGTAATACCAAAATGGATGTCTTTCAGTTGTTTTAACTAGAAATAGTCTGTGACTTAGAAAAATGGGTGCCTTAATTTTTTTAACCTGTCACCCTCCCAACTCTGCCCCCTAGCCTCCTTTTATTGTCTGAAAATTTCTGAGGAACGCTGAGTATTACATTTTTACCCATCTATATATAATTAGTTACAACGCTATTTTATCAGAACTATGGAATTCTTTCCAATGGTCACAGCAGTGGCCTATCAATACAATCCTTTAGCTGGTCACAAGTGGTGTGTGTATACAACATATGTGATCATATATATGATGATATATTATAATATCAGGTGTCACAAGCCTTTCTACATCTGTAATCACCACAATTTCACTGAATCATAAGCAATTAACATGGGTGACTAATATATGTCAAATGCTCGGTTGTAGCAGTTCAAGAATTTTCTTTTTGTCATTTAATGATAGAGAAAAAGATAACATTGTTAAAGACTGGCAGTCTAAAGCAGTAACCTGAGGAAATGACATTTTCCTGGGATAAAAAAATACAATTCACACAAAAAGAGAAGAAAACAGAGATAAGGCTGTAAGAAACTGTGTTACAGGTTAGGTAAGAGAAATGATGTTTAGAACAACCTTGGGCTGATAAAGCTATTTAAGCCCAACTGATTGGATCCTTAGACATGTCAGACTATTGGCCCCTAACAATCACATAGAAAAGGCAGGGATTTTATGATTTCACGGGTACAATGAATGCCTCAAGTATTATTTGCAGTTGTGTGTGTGTGTGTGTGTGTGTGTGTGTGTATATATATGAATGTATGTATCACAATCAGAACAACAAATTGTTCTATTTTTCCTTAATGTTGATGTTTTGGTATATGTACATATTGCTTCATTGAAAATGTTCTCTTTTCTTTCTTTCTTTCTTTTTTTTTAACAATAAAACATCATTGTTCCCAATTAGGAAGAAAAGACAAAAATACAAAAACACCCACCTTACCCTTTGTGACTATGTACTGGTTATATTCCCAAGCACACAATTACTATGACTCAAGTTGAATGAGGGCTTGCTTCTCCAATAAAACTTCCAAAACTTAAATACCCTTCTATGCTCTCATCAAGACTATAACTGAAGTTTTCTAGGAAAAAAAAAAATATACTGAAGTTGTTCAATTTCTCATTATTTGATTGAATCCTTGTGTGTGTGTTTTTTAGTTTTGTCCTCTTCCCAGCTGTAGGTTATTTTTTATTAATGTTTATTTTTGAGAAAGAGAGAGAGATAGACTGTGTGTGTGTGTGTGTGTGTGTGTGTGTGTGTGTGTGTGTGTGTGTGTACATGAGTTGGGGAGGGGCAGAGAGGGAGGGAGACAGAATCCGAAGCAGGCTTTGCACTGTGGACACAAAAGCCCAGGGCTCAAACCCACAAACAGTGAGATCGTGACCTGAGCTGAAGTTGGATGCTTAACCCGCTGAGCCACCCAGGCAACCCCGCTTGACTTCTGAAGAGGGTATAAGTAATATCTTCCGACCACTTCTCTAATACATATTATTCAATTACAATTTTTTTTTTTAAAAAACAGCCTTTGGGGAAATACATGAATGCAGATTTTTTTATTATATAATATTGTGAACAGTGCATAGTTAATGAAAGGGAAATGTGCACAAAAGGCACATAATTTGAATTAGTTTAAATTAATATACTCCATTGTAAATATATGTAATATACAAATTACATTATAAATTTTTCTAAATATTTTCTGAGTTGCAGTTAATTATTTTGAATGATAACATTAGTGTATTAAAGAAAAATAACCTGACCTTAAGCTGTTCTTCCAAAGCAGCAGTTGCTTGGTCTCCACCAGATTCATCGACCACCACCACCATGTGAGTGAGAGAATTGACCCTGACTTGTTCCTGTTCTAGGTCTTCTTGAAGCACCTGAAAGATAAAAATAAAAACAAAAATAAAAATAATAATGGTAATTAAAATAATAGTTCCCTGAACTGAATGCCAAAAACATTTCTCCCCAACTGTGTGGGATTTGTTTTTCATCTTTTAGGTAAGGTAATGTTTTCTTAAACAAAAACCATTCCAAACATATTTTCTGCTATGGTGCTCAACAAAATTGGCATACATTTACTGTCAACTGTTGGAAATACAGAGGGAACATCTGTTGAGAAAGGTATGGTAGGATGTTCTACACCTTATCCCACCTTCACTCATTTTTTGAAGGACTTTTCTCCTAAAATTACCGGCTGCCTCTGGCATCGTCATTGTCTCCCTCTCTACTGAAGTTCTCCCTTATCAACGCACACAAAACAAACTCTCTTGACCCAACAAACCCTTTCTACTACTGGTTTATCATTTTGTTCCTCTTCACTGAAAAATATTTCGTTGTCTACACTTACTCTTTCCATTTCCTTACCCTACTATTCTCTTTGCCAACTATCCCACTGAAACATCTCCTGTAAAGGTTGCCATCAACCTCCAGGTCCTCAAATCCATTCTTCTTTCATTCTCTTCTCATGAGTGCCATGTACCACTCTTCCGTGATTATCCTCGCACCTCACTGAGTCCTGCTTTTTAACTCCTTTACTGGTTCCTTCTCATCTGCTCAACTACAAATCAGATGTCAATCCTCTGTATAAAAACCAATGGAGTCACACTTCATTAAGAGGGAAAATACAAATTATTTATCTCCTTAAACCCTATAGTACCTGCCTAGCTCTCTAATCTAGTTGCATACCATTCTTGCCCTCTGATACTATGTTTCAGCCACAATAGTCTTCTCTTCCATCATGTGTCAAGTCCTTGGCTTCACCTAAAGCGTTATCCCTCCATCTCTCTAAATAACGTCTCCTTCTTAATGTTCAAGACTCATTTTAAGCGTCACTTGCCCAGAGAGGCTTTTCATGAAGATGCTATGTACATTTCCTTCTCATTTACTCTCAATCTCTGTAATTTTTTTAATACAACAATTTCACAACTCAGTATTTTCTTGTATGTTAGCTTAGTCATTTATTGTCTGTCTCTACTTACTGGAATAGAAGAGCCACTAGAACAGACATGTCCCTTGTCCTTCTCACTACAGACTCCAAGCAACTGAAGATCAATAAACTTTTTGAATGAATGGTGCCAGGTGGAGGGATAAGGGCAATACACACAGATGAATGTGGATAAAGATTACAATCTAAAAGGAGGGATTCGTTTTTCTAAACTGTAATCATAATTACACTGACATCACATATAACCACAGAACAGTATTTTAATCTTTCAAACATCATAGTGTACAAGGTTTTTTTTTGGTAAAGATAAACAGGGTACAGAGAGTAATAAAATAAATAGAGAGGAAATATAGAAGAAGTCAACAGGGAAGGATGCTCCAATGCCTCCAGGACCTTGTCACGCTACACTAACGGTTATTTAAAAAATCCCTAAATGCATATGCAAAATGTCTGGCCATCTAGTTTGCTCCCTGAAATACTTTATTGTATACTATAAGAATGGAGGAGCAGGTTTGGGACAAGATCTGTTATTTTCTGGACAATCGGCACTCCCTGCCTGGGAAACAATGATGCTTGGTACCTACCATAGTAGCTCTTAGTTATGCATGCCCTGTGGTGGATGTAAGGGAACTTATTGGGATTGGTCACACCACAAACTCAAATGCACGCACATTTTTACCCTAGGACTTTCATTTTTTGAGTCTCTTTCATTTTCAGAGCACTATAAAATCACTTACTTCTAGTTTCTCTCTCTAGAGTTTTATGCTATATTTTCAAGTGAAGCAATTTAGAATAAAATGACTCTGCATTTATTTTGTGTGTGGAGTCTATACTGCCTATCATGCCTCTGACATTCCAGAGCTTACACTGGTTAATAAAACTCTTTCTGCCATGAGGCCGAAAATGGAAACATTAACATTCAGAGTTGTCCTTGAAAGTCATGTTGAGTCTGTGTTTTCTGAGTTATATAAGGCAGGACTGGGAACATTTCAAATGTGTCCTCCAGGAATTTTAAGAATAATTAAAATAATATTTTGGTAGCTGATACATGATAAGTTGATGTCTTTAACTTGGCCAATTCTTTTCCCCTATCATTCAAGTATGAGAGCATATATAATTACATGTATTAAAAACTGAGAAATAATGCTATACTGCTCACATTTTTACATCTAAATTTTTTTTTCACTGTTTTAATATATTTTAGTAAAGGAACTTGAGAATATCGTTGTTTGATCTGTGAAGTGCTAATTTTAAACTCAGGTCTAGTCTTTCTAAAGCATATGTGATCAAATGCATTATTTATTTTCTCCATTGCTTTGATTTCTGATTTTGTTTTGCTTATCTAGTTGCTTTTTAATCAGAAATTATATTCTTGACATATGCATCAAGGGTTTACTTCTTATGCTTTTGCAAAAGTGCTAACACAAAAAAAAATCACGAAAGCGAGTTGTGAATTGATAGCTTCAAAATCAAACAGAAGAACTACCTGGATTTGTAGTGAGTAAAGGGAAATAAAGGAACATGGGAAAGGTACTCCATAGTGGCTGAAATTCTGGAAGAGTGCATAGCACTGGAGTGGATCAGCGTAGACTATTTGATTTAAGTTAATTCCAGTGTGTCTTTTTCCCTTCTATGACTTTTTCAAATCACATCTCTTCTTTTACCCATAATCAGGAATTAAAACAAAAAGGGTTCCACTGACTTTTTTGAGCATACTCAAAAGCCTCAAGACAGAAGCTATTGCAACACTGTAATCATCCTTCCTATTTCCTCAGATGTTGCCTCTGAAAATAAATAGAATGCATACCACAGTATTTGCTAATGCCCCCAGTATCAGCAAAAGACAAAAGACTATAAAATATCCAATGTCTAGAGTTCATTTTTTTTAAAGTTGATTCTTAGAAGTAGCAAAATGTCACATACAAAAAGGTGAGATTAAAAAGTTAAAATTTTTTGGCCCACCTACATATCCATGAATAAGGGTGTTGAACGCTGGCAGAAACTATGCCCTTCTGCTTCCCTCTTTGAAAAAAACACAGATTCTCAAACTACTATTTTTAACAATACATTAAAAATTTTAAGCTATTTTAAAATTAATTTTAATTATTTACTTCTTATGTAGTTGAATTTCTCATAGCTGGATTTATACAAAAGATATTTATAACAGATTTGCTAATTAATCCTGAAATAGGAGCCAAATTATTCCAAATATTGATGTATCCCCAGAGATATATGCTAACATTTTTGCCTGTCAGAAGATAATAGCTTCAAATTAAAATGCTGTAATATACGATTGTTAAAGTATGTTTTTCTTTATTAAAAGTATATAAATTATTTATATACATATAAGTACCTGCTAGGTATTTTATTATGCATTTCTTGGCATTATTTTTATTAAAGTACTCCTTTTGTTACACTTACCACATTAAAAAAAAATTGTCATGCTCCTAATTAAATTTCTATACCATTATTAGATAGATACAAATGTCAGCAATGTTTGTTCTCTAATGTCAACTAACAATCTTTATTTTTCCTTATGACAAGAGAAAAGGCCAACAGTGAAATGTAACATTAAAAATGCTTAGATTCGACAAACAGATTTTGTTATACCTCTGTAAATAATTCTATTTCTTATAAATTATTCTGTAGTTAAAGGTCCTGACCAAATTTGTTATTCCCTTAGTACATATTCACGGTTTTGTGATTTAAATATGACTTTTCTTCCATTCTCTTCAAATGTCATCAGTGGTAGTAAATTCTTCTTTCCCTGACCCGTGTCAAGTTGGTTTTCAAAAACTGGCTTAGAACAATCACTGGAGAAGAGTCATTTCAAGTGTTTACTTCAGATGTTAGCAATTTAACTCTTTATTAGTACATATATGAAATAATGCGTGGAAAATAAAAGAATGGAAATATGTAAGGCTAGGGAATTATTAGATATGATATCTACAGGTGAAGATGAACAATTAATAGAAATGTAGAGAAACAGAACGCAAAAAACAAGGTCAGTCTCTTATATTCTCCCTAGGAAGCTATCTATATATTATTTCTCTTGGACATCGTAAATGCTCCACAACATGGAATACAAAAGGGCCGTGGCTGCACATGTATATAGTTTACTTTATTACTCCTTCTACTTCAGTAATGAGCCAACAGACAATTGCCAACACCAGGTCCTACATGCACACACATAAACACACACATCTAGAAACAACACAGATCATGGACTATGCATGGATTCCCAGCCCATCTACTGCCCCTTACAGATTACTTTAAATTAATATAATTAAAAGATGTTTAATAAAATATTAGGTTTAAGTAATTTTTACTTTTTTAGCTTAGCCAAAAAATATGTTCGTGGCAAGAAGGACTGATGAAAACAAAACTTTCATCAAACATAAAATTTGCAAAAAATCTTAAGAAACTAGAAGAGTTTCTACAAACATGGTCTAAGTCCAATATCTAGGAAAGTAATATTTTAAAAAGTCCACCTCAGGGGCGCCTGGGTGGCTCAGTCGGTTAAACATCCGGCTTCAACTCAGGTCATGATCTCGCAGTTTGTGAGTTTGAGCTCCTCCTCGGGCTCTGAGCAGACAGCTCAGAGCCTAGAGACTGACCGCTTCAGAATCTGTGTTTCCCTCTCTTTCTGGCCTTCCCTTGTTCATACTCTGTCTCTCTCAAAAATAAACAAACATTAAAAAGATTTAAAAAAAATAAAAAGTCTACCACAAAAGCAAAAAAAAAAAAAAAATCCCTAGACACTTATGAACAATTAGCTAATGCAATATATGTGGATATGAATTGATTTTGTTTTCAAATAAAAACATCCTGGCTGAATCGGAAATTTTATGATTTCCTAAGAAATGATAAGAATGTAGGCAATTTAATCTTCTCTTTACCTTTTCTCTTATGGCCATTCTTATTTCTTTCTTT